TCACGAGAACATGGAGGTTAAGGTGCAACTAGATGATGCTATAGCCAATCTATTCGACAGCATACAGAAGATATGTTCGGTGTAGCCTCGTCACACCAGGTCCAAGCAACTGCGACAATCAATGCAATCGTTGGATTGTGGTAGAACTTCACTTTGGACCGCCATCTGGGAGAACTTCTCACCCTTTGTGACATTTTAGTGAGGGTTCAGTAGTATTTTTCCTTTTTAAGCTAGGGCCGAATAAAGATAGCAACGGCATTCGTTTATCGCATTAATTCAAGTTCCAACGTCAGCCTGGTAGATACACGACCTCGAATTAGATTTATGCTATGTTATCTATGTGTTTACTTAGTTCATAAGCTACAGCGTGTCTAGCTAAATCATCATAGAAAATAACATCACTTTTCCATTATCTCTAAAATATATCAGCATGTTATTCCCAGAGTACCTTTTATCCGTTGAGCGAGGTGAAATATCGCGACAAAGGCCAACACATATTTGAGAGCTCCGGATGCCTTTTATATGGTTGTCGATACCTTCCCACGGTACGGCTGTGTATGGAGGGGGGGGGGGCTGTCGCATCTACGGTAGAAGATAACAGCTCTGTGAATCGAAGCATTGGTGGTGTGATTGATGCAGTGCTTCTTATTAGTTGCATGAATCACCGCTTCAAGCCTTGCTACTAAGGACTACTCGACCAAAGAAGGCGTCTTATATCCACGCGCTTCGGATCCTCTTTTGACATTGAACGGTCGTGCTGTGTTGCATTAAGTCCATCCAATCGAATGCACAGGTCAAGTACCATTGAAACGATATAACGGGATGTTGCATTAGAAGGGCGTTTGCGCGTGCTGAACCATAATACTACTGTTGTGGTTTTACTTCGCTGTCTACGTCGCTGGTCGTCTACTGCTTGGCACGCGGCGTGCGCGTGCCGATTGCGTACGAAATATGATGTGGCAGAAATAGTGCGACCGGTTTGGCATTTCATTTGGCATCTAGAATTGTGATTGGGCTCCAACTTCATTCAGCCTATGCTGCGCAAGGGCAATCGTGACATGTCGCGTGTGTACATTGTATACAAGTATGTCCGCTGGTCCTTGTCTCGGATACTCACTTGAATGTGATCAATCACTGTGATGGCCGCAACAGCCACAGCAAAGCTGGCGCTCGGCCATACACCCGGTTATGTTGGGATAGATATGTGTTTCGAGAATATCAGCTATCTCTTTGTACCCGGAAGAATAGGTTAAAAATAATTATACATTTCTATATCACACTTGTACATGTATGTGCAACGATATCCGAAGGCAAAAACAATCGAAAACCCTATGGAGGGGTGGCCTTTCTTCAAGTTTTTGTGCTCGCGTGCTGTTCAATGAAGGAATTTCGACGGGCCGATAAGCACAATGGCATATTACGTGCTCCACACACCACCGACGTTTGACGCTTTTCACCGCGGCATCTGCACAGCTCGTACAAACGTCTACGGCCTTTAAAAATCGGAAAGTGACAAGACCAAGGTACAGATTCTGTTTTCTTTTGGCTCGATGTCATAAGCTGCCACGCTAAGGCTTTGTGCAATATCAGCCACCCTGTGTCCCATTTCGTGTCACCGAAAAAAAAGTGACCCTTTTAGCATAGCTACGACCTTCATTTCGCTCGTTTTCAGCTAGTTCACAAGTATTATTAGCGTTTTTTTAACTGTTGTTTATGCCCTTTCGATTGGCTAAAGGAATTTTCCAAAAAAGAAATGTTGTGGATCAGAAAATAGACCAGAATGCAAATTTATATTCTTCGGGCACGAGGAGATATCTCATCGAAAGAGCTGTAGCGTTGTTTCACTTAGGTTCTACTGGAGGCTACAGAGGCTCAGCTCAGGTGTTTGGCGTCTCAAAGCCACGGCGTATTGTCAAGTTAATGCTCTGGCAACAATGGGGGCTAACGCATAACAACGTGCCTCAGAATCTATAAGGATTGGGACCGGATTAAAGATGAATTTTGGCAAATGCGTGGGTTTTCATGTTGCTGTGTTGTTATGGACGGCACTCTAATCGCAATCAACATACCGCAGCAATTTTGAAAGCTGGTAGAATCGATAAGATATTAGTTTTGATGTCATTTGTTTAAGAATATGTTTCTTTGTTTTCTTATCCCCCTTCACTAAAACTGACAAACGTTTTTAATAGGATACCCCTATGTCAATATGCAAGCCGTGTATGTCACCGAAGACCATGAATATTTTTAATACTTTTTGACACCCGCTCAGGTTCTTGGGGTGTCGCCAAGGTTTTGCAACGCTCAAGATTTGGCAGAGTTGACAAAAGCTTACCCCGCGAGCATCATGTTCTAGCTTATTCTAGCTATGGTGAATTTATCTCATTAATGACATCCTACAGGGAAAAGAACAAAATAGGTCGGCTCACAAATGTTCTAGCTAAGTTCAGCTTCAACTTAGCATCAACACGCATGTCGATTGAGGGTGCGTTCGGACTACTACAAAATATTTTAGATCGTAATGAGACTGCTTGAAGAACGTACCCTGACTGCGTCGGTTCGCATAGTTGTTTCCTGCCTGGTGCCGCGCAACTTACGGCTTGCCTTCCAAGACAACGGCGTAAGCAGCCCAGCATCAGAGAGAGTAAGCTAGGTGGCCGGATATCTCCTGCATCAGATCTAACCCAGGAGGTTCGTGCACTTCGTTCTCGGAGTTGCCCGTGGCACCAGCATGCACCGTGTAGTCTTCCCACTTACGTTTTACTCATTTCAGCTACCTAACATAACATTATTCATTTCGTTAGGAAACTTGTGGTACTATGTAACTTTGCGTTCTTTTTACCTTATTCTTGCACGGGTCTGATGAAATGGGCATCTTCTGGCTATCGATAAAAGCCCTGCTGCCAGAAACAGCCAGGCGCCTTCATAGTAGCATTGTCTTTGGCCTTGCTGAAGCGCTCGGCGTGAGTTTCGTAGCGGAGAGTCGTCAAGTCGCGCACCATCGTGTCGCTCCACTCCAGAACTGCGTTCACCTTCCTGGCCGTCACACGTGCCGCTCTCTTTGCCTTCTTTCCACCCTTTCTAGGACCAGACGTGGCTGTATTCGGTGTGTCGTCAATCCCGCCCGTTGCACCTATCACCGGTGCTGCTTTCGGTGGCTTGGCCCTGCGTGCTGCCTACAGTGGCATCCTCGCGAGCGCTCAGCGCCGGGGTTGCCGCTGAGCAGGCTTCCACTGTTGTCTGGATTGTGCTCCTTGGTTCAGTCATGTTCTACTGGGCAGCGAAATTGGTAATGGTGTCAGAAAAGAGAACATTGCAGTTCGTCCGGCTACGACCAGCATAATGAGAATCAGCGATAGCCAGACAAGCTATTCCCTTAACCGCGATAAGCCGGACCCAGAACAATCATCAGCCAGCTCGTCCAGCACCTACTCGATGTTTGAATTATTCATGCAGCACTGTAGCTGCAAATCTGTTGTCCTGGATTGCCCGACACTGACCGACCTTTTAATTTCACCCCTTTGATCTATTGTGATGTGCAGTGGTTTAGTCAAAAAGGAGATTAGATTTGCTGGATTTAAAAGTAGCAGGCGGTGGAATTATGATAATGCGAGTTCATAAACCCGTGATCCATGCTTATTTACCGTAAAGCGGACAGACTTGCCCTTCTGAAACTGCAATTCTGGCACAGATGCTGCATTTTGTTCAACTGCGCCCGTAGCTGTACACTCAAATTTGGCCGGATTTACCAACGCAAATAAAACTCATTGCTTACTGGTGTAGCCTCGTGGCCACCTCGATTACAATATATGCAGATGAATTTCGACAAACATTTTTTTCTAAATACTGTGGGAATGACTCTTTTCCACATTTATGATGATGGGTTGCCATTTTTAGTGCATACAAATATCGCCAAAATGATGGGCTATTTCATTTGAAAGCAAGTAAAAATAACTTCAGAATACCAGACGGCTTCAGAATAACTAAAAGATGATATCAATTCCGAAAGGGCAAATAATTAGTGGCCGCGCACGTGATATTAGCAACAGCACAGAGGGCTTCCGTTTCACATTCATAGCACAGTTTGGCGGTAAAGCATGTGCAATTGCCTCACAGACCCTTACAAAGTGTTCCACGAAGGTGTTGCTGGTGACACAACTACAAAGAGTTTCGTTTAGACCCTTTTGGAATCTTCAAGCTGCGTCAGAGCACTGCTCGCGCCCGTCCAGGTCTCGGAAAGTCTCTCAGTAATTTTAGCTTCCACAGCCCTGACTTAGAAGCACTACCACTAACCTGTAATACTGTTTTCGTGATGCACATTGTTATGTTCCAGGTATGCAGCGGCTTACAATCAATTGGTGAGGGTTGAGACCGCCGGGCCACCGGGGCAATATTTGATGCGTGTACACGCTCGTACCGCCCCATACACCGCGGAGAGTCAGCGAGTAAATAAGGTACTTGGTTGTGGTGCTCGATGCTCCTCAAATTTGATTAAAAAAATCATCTCGTGCGTTACTCTGGTATTATGTGCAGTAGAAGTATGTCCAGAGACTCGGAAGTCCGCTCAGGTCGCCAAAAAAAACGCACCTCAAACTGGACAAAGCCATAATATATCACAAAAAATTAAAAGATTTATTGGCTAATTACATATTTGTAGACTGTCGAACTGTTAGAGCTTCGGTTTCAAGCCCAGGACATTCTTGCTTCGTTTATTACCCAAAGCAAACAGATGATGAAAAATCAAATTGGGAGATTGTTACCTCAAGCCTTAGCACCGCTCGATACTGGTATTTATGTCGCAGTCGTCTAAAGACACTAACTGCTCAAATATAAAGTAGGTAATTCTACCGCCCAAGCTGTTATTTTATTGTATGCTGACCCTTTTCAACTGTTGAGTAGAAACTAATGTGAAAAGATACACAAAGCGGCAGCAACGTTGATAATGATATTGTGTATCCTGGGAGACGTTGCTGATGAGCTTGAGACTTTCAGCTGTCTAAACGGAAATGTTATTGCTGACGGTGAGGAGAATCTTACAACACTTTGAATCGTGGCGATAGAATGCGATGCCACCTCCGATAGCGACAGCGCTGCGCAAGGCGGAGAACGACCTTCCGATTTCTCACCTACTAGGGCCGCGCCTGCCAAACGAGCTAAGAAGGATCTTGATCTGTCGTCCTTAGCAACGTCGGTGTCGACTCTTGTACACCGCCAAGTGAGTTAGCCGCTGTTAATACGAATTTGGCTAATGAACGCCAGAACCGGGTTGAGATGGGAAGTCGGGTAGGGGAAATGAAGTCTAAGCTAGATGCATTGCGGACAGCGTTGCAGACAGAGTGACGAAGATTGTGATGTCTACAATTTCATCAATTTTGCTCGGTAAGACTTTGTTTTATGTGTCGAAGTATTAAACTATGCCTAACGTTACTTTGATACTAATGATTTTACTGCGGAACTGACGATCAGCTTGTAGCTCTCCCGCTGAGCCTTCGTCAACCTGAGAGGCTGCTGGGGCTCGGTTGCTGTCGTCGTCGTGTCGATCCATACCATCTTACGTACTGTTGTCTATCTCGCCGCGCACAAAAGCTTTCAGCCCCGGCACGGCGTTTCTCTCGAAAGCTATCGCAAAGTTATGTAAGACAAGACAAGCGGTAACAACTTTCCCATCTTCTTCATCACTGTTCATGTCTAGCTTCCTCCTTAACCTTTTTGCTTCCTATAGTAGGTCAAGTAAATTGCACTCCATACAAAAAACTAACATTTTCGTAAAATCAACACAATCTGCTGATTTTGTAGACATATACCGCACTGGCGTCTATCACTTTGAAAGGGAATTACAATGGCTCAC